CTGGCCATCAGACTGTACAACAGCTCCTAGTCATGGCAGGGAGGACAAATATAGACAAAATCTGTACTCTTTACTTTACTTTCCATTTGCACTGTTTACTGTTTTTGCACTGTTTTTACTGTGGCTACTGTGTTATAAGTTATTTTAATTTTAATTCTATTTTAATATAGGTTTAATGTATGTTTAATACATGTATGTTTTGTATGCTACTGGATACTAGAATTTCCCTCGGGATAAGTAAAGTATATATCTATATCTATCTATCTATCTATCTATCAATGCATGTCCTTTGTATGTGTAATAAAACTGATTCTGACTTACAATGAATAAATTGAAGTTCAAAGCGTACACCTAACAAAATGCTGCAAAACACCAAGACAGGAAAGGAAGGAAATAGTTACAATATTTGAAATGTGAAACTATTATATATATATATATATATATATATATATATATATATATGCATATATACACACACACACATACACACAAAGCAGATCAGGTTGACTACAAATGGAGAGCAGACAATATGCACTCAGACATAATATATAATAATAATATTTGAGGTTAATGGAGGCAAAACAAAAATGTGTGCTGAAGCTGAAACTCCAGCTATGATTCTTGATAGCTTCACATACACTGTGAGCTCAGTTCTAAGTAATCCAAAAGTCACACACACACACAAACACAGAGAGAGAAAATCCCTTTGGTGACAGAGCTGACTGTCAAAGGAAGGGAGTCACATCACACTCACATCATATAAGGACAAAAACAGGAGAGAAGGCTGACAAAGAGGAAGCAGCAGGGCAGAGCAGAGTGCGAAAGGAGTGATGAGAAACAACGAGAGAGGAGAGGAGAAAGAGATGTGTGTGTGGGAATCGGAGGGGACTCCAGCTGTGTGTTTACCCTGCACCAGGGAAGGCTGTGTCAAGCCAGCTGAGATGACAGAGCAGACGAGGGCTGCGACACGCAACACAGACAACGGGTTGCGTACACACACACTCAAAGGTGTGTGTGCGCATTTGAGTTATGCATGAGTCATGCTGAATAGATGCACCGCAGCAAATCTGTCTCGAGGTGGATTTCTGTGAGCGGCAATTTCTAACCTGTGCGTTTGCCTTCTTGTGGAAAAAATGTGGCATTCAGCAAAGTCAGCATCCAACTCATTACACCCGTGTGACCTTCTGTGAAATACACAAGACCACACACAGACATACAAAAACATTTTGTCACATTAAGCCACATTTTACAGCATGTTCTTTGCAGGATTTTACCTCAGAACAACTTGGTCTGACTGTAAACAGACATTTGTAATGGCATTAGTAGGTCAGTTAACCTTGAGCATCCTGGGCAGCAGTTTCCTCAACAGGACCAAGAGGTGGCATAACCACCATCTGGCTATCTTACATAACTGCAGAGTAGTACTGTACTGTTAGGTTATGCAAAGCGGCAGAATAGATTTTTCTCATGTTAGTAAGGCTGGTATACTGGTACACATAAAAGCATGGAGAGTGATACGTTATTAGTAATATGAAAAGAACATTCACAAGGCCCTGAATGTTGAAACATGGGCAGCTCAGTCCAAAAAGTATCGGTTTTTATTCTGCTGTTTGGCAGTAGCACAGTTAAAGGAGTTACAGGTAGCTTTAATTAAATTAATCCTTTTTTTATTGCCTATTTGTGTTGTTAGTTGAGTAAGTTGAGTTGTAACCTCACTTAAAAATAAACCATTTGCCAGCTTTCCTGGTTGCCTGTAACAGCATCTTTGCCTCTTCCTATGTGAAGAAATTGGGTCAGATTTGTTTCACTAAATTCATTGGCTTACATAGGCTCTGAGGTTCATGCAAGCCCCCGAGCCTGTTGCCAACTAATACTAAACTCAACAGCGATAACACCACAGCTAACAAGATGGAGTCCGCTAACACCAAAAATTGACCGGCTCCCAGCACAACACAAACTCCACATAAGGATAAAACTGTTATGAGTTGTAGTTTCTTCCTGGTGAGTTTGAGTTTTTGCCATTTGTTTCGTATGTCTATTTGCCTGTTTCTCTCGTTCCTTGCCCTTAGTAGTTTATGTCTCGTCTTTTATCTTGGCTCTTGGTCCTGTGTTTCAGTTCTTTGTCTTTGTTCCCAGTCCTGTGCCTCGGTTATGTTTTAGTATTTACTTCTTGTTCCTCGCCTGCATTATTTTAGTTTAGTCTGCTCTGTATTCTGTGTCTTAGCTCCTCGTTCTGTGTCTCGGTTTATGTCTTACTGTTTTGGGTTCTGTCCTGTGTCCATTATCAGTTATATAGTCTGTGTTTTGGGGTTCACTCATGTCCGTCTGTCTTGTCTGTCGTCTAGTGTTCAGTAACCCTTGTCATGTCTGTTACCCCAATGATCCCTCTGCATGGCTGTCTCTCTCTGTTTTCCCCTGCTCGCTCTCTCCCTGCCTGTGCCTCGTTAGCCTCATGTCTTTCACCTGTGTTGCTCTCAGTGGACAGTGGAGCTAACGGCTGTGTGTGGAACTGGCTAACTTGCTTAGCTAGGTGCATCTGTAATTCACGTTAACGCTCATTTCAACAAGGCTGACAATTTTGTCTAGCGAACAACAGGCTTAGAACTAAATGTACTCACCAGAGAAAGTGAACAGCCAACTCCTAATAAGCTTTTTCAACAGCGCTGGTTAAATTTACACAGTGCCGTGGGTACGAGTCACTCTAGCCTGATTTACAGGTCGACATGGTAACGACTTGTCAATCACAGATAATCCCGCCCTGAAGCATACTCTGCTTTATTGTCTATGTTCCTCTAAAGTGGACCATAATTTACTAAATGAACATCATTTTGTATTGAAGAAGACATGAAACTTGTGATTGAGACCATAAACTCATTATGAAAGTGTTTACTGAGGTACTAAATCAGCTGAGAAGTAGGGTCATTTAATCATTATTTCAAATGGAACCAGACATCTTTTTGCAACCAGAAGAGTTGCCCCCTGCTGGCTGTTCGATAGAATGCAGGTTTAAGGGACTTCCACGTTCACATATCGGTTTGCTGACAGAAGCTTCCCACTTGGGTGCAGAACAGCAACATAGTGGAAGACCCATTCAGTACAGTAGTGTAACTTACTATGGTCTAACTTTTATACTAAAGTGCATGGATTAGGTCAATGTCAAGTTGATAAAAAAAATAAAAAAATAAAAAATATTACTGTAAGCTGCAGTGGGAATTTTATTGAGTTTCTAGCATTTTGTGTGATGCTGTCTCCAGTGTTTTGGTCTCTGTTTTGACTGATGCCAAGTGCCTGCTCATTAGTTTGAGCATGTGCACAAGCATAGGCTTGGAAAAGTAGTGGTTGCAATCTGAAACCTTTCTGCTAGAGGCCAGTGAAACTACACATGGCCTCTTTTAAGAACCTGTTTACAGTTGTTTGACAAAATAATCTTAAAGTGAGACAATGTAACTTTTTAGAGGTGACATAACTTCTTCCTCTCCTAAGTGAAATGTTGAATAGCTAAGCTATAAAACACACCCATGGTCATTTTCGGTACAGAGGTTTTGCAGGAACAGTCTTATTTGGTCTGGTAACACTGAGTAGCTTATGGTGGCTAATGTTAGCAAGCAAACTTTAGATATCGCCATGTGACTGACAGAACGGAGTAAGTTTGGTGACGTTTCTATAGCTGTGCTACTGCTACACTATATGTCACATTAAAATTTCAGCCCTCAATTTCAAGCAACAATCCATGTTTATTAATCATTAGTGACATGCCCATTATTGGTGCTTTTGTTTTACTTTGGAAAGAGCAGTCACCAGGCATACTGTACTGTTCTGTGTTACTTAACCTCCTACTCCACTATTATGTCTGTGATCCATGACAGCCTGGTGTTCTCCTACGAGCTCGGGAAGAGATTAACACCTCAATATCTCTCCGCCTGCTAAGCACCAGTTCAGCCTCATTCAACTGGCTGAAACCAAGGCCTTGAATAGAACCGTGGTGGACCAATCACAGGCAGGGGAGGTGCACTTCTGTCCTTCAAATAAAGTCACTGGGAAAACAGTATTACAGTGTAGTTCAAACACACCACCTAGTGTTGGTAAAGAAAAGTGTGTATGTTCTCCAGGGTGATGTGCCCAGGAATTAGTGTGTAAAAATCCTGCTACGCATGATGCAGTTATATTACATCGGGTGGTATTGTGGTTCTGATACTGACTGTAGTTGCACAAAAGACAGAAATTCGCAGAAACATGAGGTAACATCTGCTCAGCAAAAGAAAAATCAATACTGTAGCAGTATACGGAGCAGAGAAAGGGAAAAGCAGGGCTTACTGTGAAAATGAATGGAACCACCGCCAACCAAACAAAAGACCTTTATACCGCAATATGATATGTACTTAAGATGAAGGTACAAGATAATGTATCAAATAAGACACCATAAAAGGTCCATTGTTTTACAGCAACAAAATTAGATAATTAGCATTTTCTAGACAGTTCTCTCAGTTGGATTTGTGACATCAACAGCCTCCATATGGTAAAATTATTGCCTTCAGATTGGCTGTGTGATCCTCTTGGACTTTAATATACATATTAGTGTATGTTTGTTTCTTTAATTAACGGATATTAAAAGAGAAATGGTGAAAATACTGCTTACTAGGAAGCTAAGCCATGGGTCAAAGTTGTTGTATTAGCTTTATTGTAACGGTATTGCATTTTAAAGAACCTATGTTGACTAAAAGCAGAAAAAAAATCTGGAGGGATACATTTCCATGGTTATTTAAGTCAGACTTATTTCAGACTATTTATGGAATGTAAAATGAGTCTGGTTTAGTCTAGTACGCCTGGTTTAACTGGTAATGTTGATTTCTAAACAGGCCTTTCATGGGTCAGTTTACTGTGGCACTGTCAGAAGTCAGAAACGGCAAAACAAATCTTCTAAAAAGCCTCAGCCCTAAAGTGCACTCTCAGACAATGTGTGAATCATTTTTGATCAGGAAAAATAAAACAAACAGCCAAAATCTGCCCACAAACGTTGCTTTAATTGACTGTTAAAAATAAGTAAGGCTAGAGATGCTGTAGAAGTACAAGATGGTGTGTACTGCTAACTTGGAAGAAACAAAGTACCTGCCAAGGTAATGACACGCATTTGTAGATGAGAGGGGTGTCAGAGACCTGTGGAGGAGGGCGAGAGTGGTGGGATAAAGATGCCCACTCATGGACTTCAGCCTTTAGAGCTGAAAACTGATTGTGTCAGGGTCTGTGGACAAGCTGAGGGGTTTCTACTAAAAAAACAAAAGTTCTGAAGCAGTCCCCCCACCAAACAACTCCTCTCACCTCAGAGACATAGTGCATAGCTGAGTAAGGTTAACCCCTTCAAAACAAATTCATATCATTTCAACAGCAAAAACTGTTGCAAAACAACAAACCCAAGCCAGTTACATGTTTCATACATACATAAATCATATATATTTTCATATTCAATGTACAAAGATACATTCTGAATTGCAAAGGCTCAATCATTGTAAATAAATACTGAAATGGCTAAATTGCAATAAATTTTTCTCCTTTCCTGGAGAGGACACATGCACACACACGCACACTCATGATGAGGACAGGCCTCCTCTGATACTGTTCAATACAACGACAAAACAAAGAACATACCAGTGCAGCGTACTGGTACACAGAGGCCAGAAATATATAGTCTCATATTACACCCAAATGAACATCTTGGGCACTGTACTCTGAGAGTACAGTCTAAAAGAATTTTTCTTTTTAAAAAAAGCTCATAAAAATAGACTTCAATCAGTTTTCCATCAGGAGGAGATATCACTGATAACTTTAAATAAACAACATCATGTTGCACAAAGTGGGCAGAGCAGAACCAAAAATGTAAATGTTATGAATTTTGACCTCTAAATGTCAAGATAAGGATTGGGGGGGGGGGGGGGGGTATGTAACCCACAGCGTGTCTGCTTGTTTTATCCTCTCATAATAACAGAACCAGCACATTCTCTGCTCTCACACCCTGAAAATATTTCAATTTCCTAATATGAAAGTCTAAAAATATATCTTATCTATACACCAGGATTTCTGTTACAAAAACTTGCATGTTATCTACATGGCTATAGACTCAAACATGCTGCTTAAAGAGGCCATGTTAGTTGAGACACGAGTATTGTTTCAGCATGTGGCAAACTTTCAATCTTTAATTCTTTATCCTTTGGTAGCAAATGTAACATTCGTTCAAGAAAAAATAAATACTTTGTCACACTTGAAAAGCCTGCAAGTTATTCCTTTCAACACTCAATAACTAGGCATATTTTAAAGTGTCTACAAGCTGGAGCTGGTGGGTAGACAGAGTCTGTGAATCTTTCAGTACTGCAACCAAAGTTACTCAAAGGAAGGGAGGATTTACAGTATGTAGTGACAGATGTGACAGCAGCTGCTGCTTTTCATTTCATCATTATAGGTTTTGTGAATGGACTTGTGTCAGTCACAGAGTTAGTTATTGCCTCTAATGATTTATTATAACATTCAAGTCACAGAGCTAAGCAAGACTAACAGTCTATTTCCAGCTCTGTGAGGCTGTACTTTGAGCAAAATGCTAATGTTAGCAACATGCTCACAACGACAATGCTAACAGGTATAATGTTTACCATGTTCTTAGTTTTAGTGTGTTTTGTTCATTTTGTTCATCAAAGAATTGGACAAAATAAAATTTAGACCTGGTGGTGGTGCTTTGGTTGAGATATTTCAGTATGGACCAAAGTTGTGGACCAAGCGACAGACATTGAACACACCGCTGATATGAAGGCATTCCCAAAATGGAAAAGAAATGGGTTACAAATCTTTTTCATCATGCAGCAGAAAGAATATTTTTTCTTTCAGATGTTTAGAAGATGGATTTTTCTAAACAATGCCACCGTATTTCATAAAATCAGATGCTTAGCTCTGTGACTTTAATGTCATGGTAATGCACGCATGAGAGGAATAAATTGGGGCTTCCACTAACACATCTTGAATATTTAGATAAATACGGGGCCATCCTCTGCTCAGACAGATACGAACGAGATGAATCTGACGGATTGCATTTGACTTCAACAAAGTCGGACCTAGAGTCATGTGGCGGTCAATTACATTTTTCTGGCATACAATCAAAAACCTAGCTTCTCAAAGGATGAAAAACTATAAAACTCCACGAAATAGGATGTGGGTTTCATATAGAATCCCACATGATCTTACACTATAGAAGGACAACAGGGGAGCGGTCTGATTTAGCATCAAGTCGACTCCAGCATGAGCAAACAAAGACTGAACTGAGGAGGGAACCTGGAAATGTTAGGAGGAAAATTCATTGTATTTGCTGAGCAAATATAACAAAACAACAAAAGGTCTGCATCTGATAACAGTTTTACCTCAAATATTATTAAAATAGACAGAGGCATTATGATCGATTGAATTTCAATACCATAAAATAAAAAAATAAAAAACAACAAATAAGAGAATAATAAAATAAACCAATAACATGCAGTTTGCGTCAATCTGTATGCACTCGTCCAGTCCAGTTCACCACTGAATAAGCTCTCAGAACAGTTTTTGCTCGTTTCACTCTTACTGTTCAGATCTGAGGAAGAAAAAAGTGCTGATTAAACTCGTGCCTGTGGAGCGGAGTCGGCCACCTGAACTCCTTCTCCATCATGGCAGCGGGTTTGAGAGAGAAGGCAAAACATTCCTCAGGGGTCTGAGGTCAGAGTTCAGTCCTCGCTGGCCACGACCTGCCAGACAATGAGGTGGCTGCGCTCAGCTTTTGCCAGGGAGGGCTGCAGTTTCATGATGGGCTCCTCGCCATCCTCCGCCTCGCCATCGTCATCTCCTAAAGACATACAGAGAGACGCCGCATTTGTCTCTAGATCTGCTGTGTTGATTACAATAATGTTTTTAATCCATTACATGTAGCAAACTTACCCATCCTAAAGTCAATGTAGCCTTCTCCTCCACTCATCACCAAAATAGACTTGGTTCCTTCCGGAGTTGCGGCATCTGTCGCCTTGTCACCTGCTGCCTCTGCTCCGCAGGACGCAGATGGTACTGCATGACCTGAAAGCACAGAGCCACAAACTGTAAATAACACCAAGCAAGTCCAGATTGTGTTTCTCTGTTACAGACCTTCTTATCAGTATACTGTATTTAAATAAGATCTCACCCCTCTGGCTCACTAGTTTTTAATCTGCATTCAATATGAGAAGCCAAGTACGGATAGCAAACTGTTTATTTTTCAATTTTATACACAATTTTTCAATTTTATAGCCTGCTGATTACAAAAAAATGTTTTCCAACACATATATCACACATAGGTGTCTGGCAGCAGCAACGGAAAGGACAACTTGCTCTTTCTTCTTTATGGATAAATACTATACCAAATCTACCCAAAATGTTTTTATAAAATCCAAAGAGTTATAAAAAGAAGCCAGGTTTGATTACCTGGGACAGCAGTGAAGAACTTGACCGCATCTCTGTGACCATGGAAACAGAGCTGAGCGTGAGCCATGGAACAGTATGGAACAAAAGTACCGGCTGTCACTTTATCACCGCTTTCGTCACCGTAAACACGAACTGCACTTCCTGGTTGGTTACCTGTTTCCTTGGTTACCTTATTGGCGGCTAAAGGAACAAGTGTGAAATGGAGGTAAATCACAAAGCTCAGTCCACCTGTTTAAAAAGCACTCTGTTTAACTAATATGATATACATGTTGAAGAGAGCAGGAGAACTGTTCAGTTTGAATGGATGTGTCCACCTGAAGATTATTCCCCTAAAAATAAAATCAGTCTAGCTCCTGAACTCACACTCTGTCAAAGGGATGGAGATGATGACTCCATTTCCGGTGCCGATCCACAGACGACTGCACGACACCATGAGAGCTGTGATCCTCACAAATGAGAAGCCTAGTTTCCCAGTACCTAAGGAAAAGGTATAGAGAAAACAATTTAAACCAAATCGCAGTGGAGGAACAAAAGTGTCTTGAGTGTGTCATGAAGGCGCTTCTTCTTCAAAAAAAAAAAAAAATTAAGAGTGAACTGACCCAGCATCTTGCTGACGTACGGCTCGATGTCGACGTCCTGAAGGTGCTGGAAGGTGTGAGCGTGGAACAGCCTGAGAGTCGAGTCCAGTCTGATAGACACCCAGATGCCATCGCCATCCCAGGCCAGCTGACGTACCTGGCTCTCCTTACGAGGGTGGGCGTCAAATGACTTCTGCGAAGGACAGAGTCATGCAGAGGGCAAAATTACTATCACGCTGTCAAGTTAATTTGAAGAAAATTTGATGTGGCGGGGGAAGAGAGAATTTGAACAAGATGAGTTCAGGCTGTTCTTTGTTCCAGGAAGAGAGACAAAGCACAGCCAATGACTCACATTAGCCTGGCGAGCTAGCAGTTAGCTAAGGATTATATAAAGCAAAATAAGTTGATCTACAAACTGGTAAGGCAGATCATTTCTTGTTTTGAGATGCTATAGTGTGTTTTGGCCACCCTGCTGTATTCTGTGTTGGTCTATTGGTCTATCGAGTTTCGGGTCTCAAATTCGGCCGTACGTGGGGCGGGTTCAGTCGCGTCTAGTTTGAAAGGTGCGGCTTCGGGAATGGCTTTATGCTCGTGCTGAACTCTGAACTGAACATGCTAAGTCTTATCATACCTCTATCCTCATGGCTTTGGGCTGCACCACATAGATCCTGTTCCTGTAGCCACACCACACCTTGTCGTGCACTACAGTCATGCAGCGGACGGAGTAGTGTGGTCTCCCCAAGTCTAACAGATGGTAGTTGGTCAGGTCCCACTGTCCATCTGACACAAAAAAAAGGAAGTCAAGATTTACAATTAGATGTACATTATGTCAGGTAAATATTACTTTTTATTTCAAAGTAACGTGCAGTGTTAGTGTCCCCTCACCTACTCCTCTGTGGAAAATGGCTAAAGTGCCATCAGAGAGGCCGACCAGTACACGCCCTTTCACATGCCTGGGGGAGAGAAACAAACACTTTCACAAAAAGTACCAACAGGACATGAAATCGAGGTTGACCATATGGTGTAAAACATACATCCGTCATTTATTTCGGTGTACTTACACAATGCCGAGCACAGAGTCCTTCAGCTTTATAGAATGGAGACACTTCTTCCACTGAGCCACGGAGGAGTGGACGTACACGCTAGAATCACAAACGTTTCCTCAGTCACCACAATTCTTGATTTCTGGTGCTGGGCAAAACGACACAGACATTTGAAACTCACCATCCATTCTGGGCCCCCAGCCACATAGTGGGCAGAACACTGCTCATTTTCTGAGCCTCTTCTCTCATCAGGTCCTGCTCCTCGGCGTTGAGGTTTGAACTTACTCCATCTTTCAACAGATCACTCTCCCTGCTCATCAGAGACGACCAGTATTATTAGAGGTGCAGCGTTTGTATAATTCTTACTTTCCACCAATTGTAGTGAACAGCTGCGTATCTGTCAAACTACACAATTAACACTGGACAGTGGTAGCACTATATGTATAATGCACTTGTTAGTGTTACAGCCCATTTCGTTGAGAGGAAGTGGTAGCCAAGGGCAAAACACACACTTAATCTTAATGTAGCAAGGGTAGTTTTACTTGAAGGTTTAATGCACTGCAATGATAATTTACCATCACACAAATATTTACATAGGTTTCACGATCAAACAGTAAATGGCTTAATGAGTGATTGGATGTCGTTGCTCAGTTTGTTTATGGTTGTACTGATATAATTGAGTTTTATTGGACAGACTGAAGTGTAGGGTAATGGGTCTCCTGATGTTACCTCTGAGAGTAGTTGGCTGGAGCCTCTGCTGGCTGCTGAGCTCCCAGTGGATCAGTGAAGACGTGTTCGGTGTAGACTCCCCCCAGGCTCTGTCTCTGGTCAGCAGGACCTGCACTGGCCTCTGTCGCCTCTGTGGCTTCCTCTGCTAGTCTGGAGACTGCAGAAAGGATCGTCTCTTAGCAAACTGGGCCAACTCAAGAGTAGGTAATATTTATGGTGTCACTTTAGCTTTGTTTCTGTACAGATGTTGTCCGCCCCTCACTAAAATGCAGATTGTTGTACGTCTTTCTTTTTGTGTTCTTTAGAGCTGACAATAATCACATCATCATACTTTTTCTCATCCACATCACATGTGGTTGAACGTATTTTTGCCATATCAAAAATCAGAGTAGGAAATGGTCCCAACTGACTGAAGGTCATTTTTGTCATACTTTTAGGCCTAGAAGTAAAAGCATTTTAGCAACTTTCTTAACTTAGGACTTCTCACTCCTATCTCTGCTGATATTTAGCAGAGCTCCGGATGTGTGGCCAGGAAACGGCAGTCAGACAGAGACATGAAGACACACACGGTGAAGAAATGTTCATCAAAGACTAGGAGCTTGTTGAAAGATACCGTTTCAGCAAACAAATTTTATTCTTCTTTGACAGGCGGGATGCATATGCATATGACAGCGAGCTCTGTGGTGACTTGCATCTGTCACAATCAGTATGTGTGGTAATAAGTCAATATCTGGTAAAAACAAGCTGCAGCCACAGCTTGTTTAGTAAGTCATTCATTTGTTTAAAATGATCGCTGGTGGGGCCATATTTAAGGGATGCATTCATATTGTTGCAGAAGATTTCCCTACACTGTGTGACATTACAGAAAGAATTTCCCCACCTGTAAGGACACATATGTTTTTCAGGAACGTAACTGCATGTGGAATAGGTGCAACACTTGCAAGATGAGGCACTTCTACAGGCAGTAAAACAATATTATTGGACAAGTGCCACTCAGCTGAATCTAATTACATTTAAAATTAAACTAAAACTGTATTGTTGATTGTTTAATCCATGCAAGTGGCTTGCTGAAGTTTACCTAAAGCCAGTGAATGGCTTATTGCTAAATAATATGGGTGTTCCCGACTACAGATTAGATTGAGACTAACTGGGCATTTACAGCTAAACTGAGGCTTTCTGTTTCCTGCATTTCTGAATCTGAAGTTTAATATTTCAACTAGCAACAGTCAGAAACCTTCAACACATTATCCTAACCTTTACTCACTTACAGCGACGTGACATTCTCTCTGGTTTGGGAAGCGTCATAAATAACTCTGAAGTCCTAGACTCTGAGAGATGCTTGAGAAACACGGTCCCTGATCGCCAAGACTGCTTGCTAACATCTCTTACCAGTTTCACCGTCTTTTCCTGGACTGCCTGCTGTCTGAGGAACAGCTGCTGCTCCTTCAGCATCACAGCCAACAACAGTGATGCCTCCGAGCACACCATCGCCTTCTACTGAGCTGCTATTGGTTGATTGTGAGGTGCTGTCTCCTGCAGGTTCTGTTTCAGAGTTTGGAGTGACTTCCTCACCAGCTGGGTAGTCCGTCTCTCTTGCACCTAAATTTAAGTATACATATGTAAACATGAATAAAAAAGCGTGCTGCCCCATGTAATCAGTGCAATCCATCTGCGGGCCTCTGAAGCAAAATCAGTTATTTGCACACAGATGTCAATAAAATCCTCTAGTCCTCTATGGACTTGCAGCTACACTCAGATGCATGTGTTTATCTGCTGACCTGGTACACTGGCGATGCAGAGGACGTGGGAGTTACAAACAAAGAAGCTCTCTAGGATGTTTCCAGGCTGGTTGGCGTCAATGACAACGGCTTTAGTGGTGGAGTGGGTGCTGGTGCAGATCCAAACCAGTGACGACAACTCATCCTGCTGCCGCAACTCTTTCTGCTGCTCCTGCAACAACAAACAAAAAAAGACACAGAGCAATGAAACATTTTGTGTATGTGTTTTTGTAATTACAGGCACCCTTTCGAAAACTAGTGACTCAAATTTGATACTTTAAATATTTTAGTGTCTGATTTATGAATAATTGCTATCATTATTTTTATCACCATGTGTCCCCTGTGGGATGGAAAGATGTGTGCGTACCTTGATATCTTGATCCAGTTTATCCAGGCTGCTCTGAGATCCTATCTTCTTTTTAGGGCTCTCTGGTCCTGGCACGTCACTGTAAAACACGCTGGCTCCTATGATCAAACCCCCGTCTCTGGTTTTCCCTCCAGAGAGGTTCACGCCAGCAGCACACCACAGCTGAAGCACAGACACACGGTGACAGATATGATGACGACACACAAAATACATGAAAGCTATCAAGAGATGTGCAATACAGCCGAGACATAATCCCAGCTAAGACAAAGAAAAGGAACCATTAGGAACCATTATTACAAACAATTGAATTATTAGAATGGTTTGATGGCGTATCTGGCCAACACTGGGCTATCAACGGCTTCAGTCAAAACATACCAACATAACTCCTTCTCATATTGGTTAAAAGAAATGTAAAAATATGCGGGATTATTGATGAGGATGAAAGCTAACAAGACATTTTGAATGCAATTATTAACCAACAAGCAGGAGGAAATACCTTCATAGAAGCATCCTTCTCATCCAGTGGTCTGAGGAAGACAGGAACAGGTAGATTCTTCGTTTTACTCTCTGTCGGACCTCCATTCGCCTGAAAATGTAAAAACCGCACCATTGCATTACAACTTGTTTCTGTTGTGGCTCCCATCACAATAGTTCTACCTCCTTCTGAAGAGGACTGTCTATAGTAATTACAACTGGAAGGTTGCTCATCTCTTTACTTTGTATTTCTTGGGTAGACTCCAGCCGTAAGCCTGCACTCTGCTGTCCTCCTTCTGGACGTGGGCTTTGACCTGCTGGTACTGAGCCCGCTTCTGCTCTCTCCTGGACACCACGTTATCGGCTGCCACTCTGGGGGACAGAACAACAGCTCGCTCAAGAAAGATGTCTACTCTTTGACAAAAATAGATGAAACTGAAACAGGGAGCGCTTTGATGACAATTTTAACAAAAGGTGTTAACATTAAGTTAGACTAGGGCTGGGTAAGTTAACGTGTTATTATTGCATTAACACATTAATAAATTAACACTGACAATTACTTTATCTCACATTAACGCAGTTTTTATTATTATTATTATTTTGAAAGTCCGTTGCTCACTGGCCCTCAATACACATACAGTCAAACCCTGGGTCACAGGAGGGGCGGGATGTTGATCAGCCTGCAAATCACCCAACCAAACAAGCAGTGGAGGGAGGCTTCGGCAGACTATGCTGGATGCAGCGTGTGGGAGAAGTAAGACAGCGCTCCGCGAGTATACAGCAGGCGCTCTATGGAGAGTAACAATGGCAACGGCTTCTGTGCGCTACACAGCTGTAGCCCATTTAACTTAAGTTAAAATTATAGGCTACATGACTTCACCTGATAGGCCTTCATCTAGTTTTGCGGGCATGCTCTGCCACATGAATTCCCTCCTGCTTATGCAGTACATTTAAATTGAAAGTGCGCAATACACTACTTCAGAATTCATTGTTCAATTTTGAACATAACAATGTAATTAATCATGATTACTTGCAGAAAATCGTGCGATTAATCGCAATTTAAATTTTTAATCGTTGCCCAGCACTAAGTTATACAGAATGAAACTCATCCATTGAACAGTTTTGATGATATCATCAAATTCCCTGAATGATTGAATTTAGATTTTTAATGTTCTTGATCTACTGGCGACCTGTCCAGGGTGTACCCCGCCTTTCACGCAATGTCGGCTGGGATGGGCTCCCCCAGGATGGGCGGTTGACGATGGATGGATGGATGTTCTTGATCTTTGCTTGTGAGTCAATGTACCAAAAGAGGTCAATAATGCCTCAGCATACAGTATCACAGAATCAAATGTTCTCATTAAACCTTCTCCTGACTGACTTACTCCTCATTGAGGAAATCAAAGGCTTTGCTCTTGTCACTGGGCAGCTGCTGCAGGGTGCTGCTCCTCTTCTTGACGGACGGCTGAATCTGAGAGGTGGGTGCGTTATACTTGACGTTCACAGGGGCCTCCGCCGCCGGCTTCTTGGCCGCCCCGCCCGACGAGCTAAACAAACGGCTGAAACTGGAGGTGTAAGGGCGGGGAAGTGGGACGGAAGGAGAGAAAAAAAAGCACACAGACAAACATATAGAGGGGTGGGCACAAGCGGTAGCTCCAGCGGCAGAGGTAGGGCTCAACATTTAAGGGTGATAAGGTCGCCCTTTACCATGCCAACACACCATGCCAGCTTTCATACAGGTAGCAGTCTGATGCTGATATGTACATTCCTGCTAACTTATCCAGACCCCACTGATCTGTCTCCCAAACAGCAAAGCATCAGAGCAGCTGTTCTCCCAGAATGGCGGAAAGGGAGTGCGGGGTTAATATTGAGCACCGACTAGGACGTTAGTCAACAACACAGAGCAAAACAGGCCTGGACATAAAATAACACTTTTCATTTCCCCCCCAACTCTACAGTGAGCCCATAGTATCTATCACATTACACCTGACTGTTTAATGTATATCAACACATGTTCAGCAGGTTTCTAAAGAATACCTTTATAGCAGATCAGTCTGAAATAGGCTCTGGTAAGTCTACTTTTATGAGCATATTTTCTCTGCTTTGACCAACACACTCCACTCATACCCCTGCCATCCCTCCCACCTGTATAGAAACCCTCCCAACACACCTCCTGCACACAGACATCACAACATCAGCCAGGATATAGAAGGACACACAGAAACAGAGCGGGAGAGATGGTGAATTTATCAGATTATGCTTCTCTTACACACGCACTGTCCCAATACTGCAGCCAAAAACCAGCTCCAAATAACGTCCTCTTCAAACCAAACTCATTCCTTATGACATTCAACAAAGGAGAGCTTTGGGATCAGATCACACAAATTCAGTCTTTCAGATTTAGTGCCACTGTGAGCAAATAAGTGCATTGACCCAACCTCAGGTCTCTCAAAAGCTTGTCATGCTTGATGTTTACAGCTGTCTTTAATTTTTAATTAAGAATTAAAGACAACTGTGACAGCAAAGCAGCTCAGATCTGAGATCAGAGTCACAGCTTCATGGTTGGCTCTCCTCTGTCAAAAGATGAAAACACCAGAAGCCAGTCAAGTCACTGTGAACATGTCAAAGATTTACCTACATCCTGGAGAAAACAATCACACAACATGGAATACAAAGGAAAAGCAAATGAAACACAGTAATCACACTGTGGTTGGTATTTAAGAGATGAAAAGAAAAGAGGTGCTTACAACTGCCAGAGGCTGGATTTCTTCTTCTCTGGAAGAGCTGGGTTCTCTTTTGAAGCCCTGAGAGAGACAATTCATTTAGATGTATTGCTTTTGATGTTTTACAGTCAATTCTTCTATTTCAATTTGAAATATCAAACCATACTCAGACAGTTTTGTTTGTATAGTATAGCTTTGTGTTTTCCCTTTGTATGTGTGTGTGTTAAGGATCAAGGCAAGGAAAAAGGGGAATAGTATTCAACTGCAGCAGCACCTCATGATTAAATCATAGAAAGTAATCTCAATAAATTAGGCAAAAAAAGTTATTCTGTGAGCTGGTAACAAATAACAAAAAAGATATCTTGGCTGTTGTGTGGTTAATATGCTCTCTGCATGCTGGTTCTGTACTTTTCACACTTGGCCACAGATTTTTTTGTGGAAGAAGAAACACCACTCTGAGCTATGGGCTGTGTCTTTTTGATGTCCATTAAAGACAAACAGTCTTTTACTACATAAACCATGTAGGTGATTGCTGCACATCATCGCAGTATTTGTCGAACAGAGAGATCTTACCTTTACTCAATTTGACGTCTTCAGACATCAAAAGTGACTAACCACACTTTGTGTCATTACTGTCCACCTACAGCTGTTATATCACGCCAATATCGAATGTCATGATTTATGTGATAATGCCATTGAGTTACGTCCTGTATACCACTAACGTAATCATTTCTCAAATGTGAGCTAAATCGAGACAATTGTCTACAGAAAACATACTTTCCTCTCTAACTCGACACCAAGCTTGTTTTATCCGATTATAACTTTGTGATTATGTATGATGCAATTATATCTTGTTTAATACTACATAGAACACAAATGCAGGCCAGCAGTTTGTCTGAGAATGTGGGTCCCCCCAGCTTGAAAAAAGGCACCCCTCCCTTAGTTTATTTGATTAGTTTTGCTCAAGTCCTGGATGCCTAAGGCATCATAATTATGTTATATGATCCCCTAGACAGACGGAATTAAGCCAAGACAGCCTAATATTGCTGTTTCACAACAAAGACTACACAAAATACTGAGGTCTGTCCTGTAGTATTTATTAATCACTGGGAATGTGAGGAAAAAACTGTAAAATTCTCCAAAACTTCTGTCTCTGAACTATCTCTTTAACCAAATCATATTTAGGCTATTTTATATGCCCCCGGGGATGCCGGTCTCCCCCTTTGAAAACCTCTGATTTAAATCACAATTGGTAAGAAAAGAAACACAATTGGATATCATCCTCCATTTGTTCAGCCCCACTTTATATTGTGCACTACTTGTCTCTGTTCCTCTTGTCTTACCGGATCATCTCTGTCCATCTAACAGCCTCCTGCAGCTCCATTAGCCTCTCCTTATACTGGTTCCTCTCCATGAGGACCCTGGCCATCTCCACCCTGGTGAAGCGCTTCCTCTGTGCTGTTGGCACATCGCTCTGCAGGCACAACACCAGTGTGAGACCACTCTTCAATACATATACACATTATACATGAAACACAAGATCAATATGGTGGCTGTGAAGCTTTTTAAAAAGGGAACAATAAAGGCTTTAGAGGCATGGAATATAGTGCAACTAAAAAGGTCATAATTAGAGATACCTAAAAGATCCAGGTAGCTTTCTTCAATAACGTATACTGCTCTAATCCAAACTGGTGTATACACACAACAAATACCAAGGACTCACATCATCCTCATTGTCATTCTTGACCTTCTGTTTGGATTCCTCAAGCTCAGTTCGAATCCTGTAAGTGAGTACGTCAAGTCTTTAGCAGCCATCTTTTACAGCATATACTCAAATGCAATACGCAGACTGACGAGCAGTCCAAGAAAACTCACCTCTTGAGTTCTTCCTCTAATTCTTTGTTCTTCTCCTCCAGTTTGATCTTGGCTTGAGTGACAGCTTTCAGCTCACCTTGCAGGCCCTCCTTCTCACAAGACAGTTCGTCCACTTGTGCTATGAGGTCATTTTTCACCACATTCAAAGCATTTCTAAAAAAAAAAAAACCAAATGTTATATCTACATTAAACACAAGGTGGCAGCACTGTCCCGTTTCTCAATCACGCAATAGGACTTTCCTTTTTTCATGCATTAGCTCTTTTTTGCTTTTTATCACTATCAATCTTTAGAAAAAAGTGCCACGTGGAGTCCAAAAATAGCACCATCTCTTGGAAAAAGATTTTAACTTTAGAATATTAAACACAATTGCAAACACTGCTACAGAGGTGGGTCAGACTGGGTTGAATAAAAAGCATTTGTTAGACATGGAACATATCTGGCAATAGGCACTTTGATGTGCACATTTTAAAATAAGGAAAAAAGCAATCTTTGCATCCAAACTACAGGTGCATCAGCAGGCACTGCAAATTGATCTAATGTGTCAGCTTAACAGTCAGGAATATCATGATAATATGCCAAAAAACAAATGCATCATCAAAAAACAATAACAAGCACAAGCAGATTAAATAGGGAAGATAATGCTGGTATTTGGCACAACCTAACATGGCCCACTAATGTAGCAATGTCTGCAATGATGATATAGTTACTTAACTATAGTTACTATACGCTACTTTTTTTTTATTAATGTCATTATTTCTGGTTTAAAAACAAAAATAAAATAGACTCTTCTGTAGTTATAATGAGTACTAACTTGGTCTCCAGCAGCTGGGTGTTCTCTTGGATAAGATGTTCGACCTCCCGACCCATACCTGAAAATGATCACCCACAATGGGAATTCAAAATAAATGTTTCGTCTCATCATGTGCTCCAACATGAAAGGGAAGAATATAGACACTACTGAAAAATCAAAAAAGACCTGGTCCTTATCCTACACACTAACTTTTGATCTTGCAGTCTTACCTAGAAAGTTGTAGTCTGGGAGCCATGCAAGAGATGATGCATATCAGGAAGAGTTTATGAGACTTCATTTTATGAGATTTGAGTGAAACGGTCTCATTTAAACATCTCTATTCTTTGTTATTACTGCCCTTCAAAACACAGTAGCACCACTCTAATCTATTCTGGACAGCTATAAGAAAGCCACAGAGGGACATCAGGGACATGGGACACAAATGTTGAGAATTTTGTTGGGAGACAGATCCGGGGGGGGGGATTTATTGATACACACCAGAAAACTCATCTGTAAGGATGATAAAGCCCGACAGCCGAAGAAAAAACGCAAGAATATGGCAGGGGAAGAAAATTGTTTGTAAAATAGTAGAAACTATGACGGGATTAAATGATCAAGTAATGAAAGTGAGGCTTCTTACCCAGCAGGTCGGCTCCCTCGTCCACGTCTCCTATCAGGTCGTTTCCTGCAGATGACAGCTCCTCAAACAGAGAGTCAGTGTTCCGGTCAAACGCTAGGTTCTCTATGCCACCTTTAGATGGTGTGCTGGATGGACAGTTAAGGTAGAGGGAGGGAGAGATATTTCATTTTTTCATATTTCATATGTCAAAAGGCAAAGATGTTTATAACGCTGCTAAGAACAGCCACACTTAAAAGGTGGGGGGAAAGCTGGTCATCACAGAAAGGGGCAAGACAAGATAATTGATTTTGGACAATCTTTGCTTGAAGGAATTTGTCTTGCAAATTGACAGAAGTTTGACAGAAGTAGTTGTGTAAAGAGCGAAGAACAAGGTGAGAGAAAAGTTCAATCTGTGCCTACTTTCACACCTCCCCAACCCTGGCCAATCACTTGACTGTTTAGAAATGTTACAGAGGGTGCACTCCAAATCCCAACTGGCACAGTGCAGCTTTAGCATGGTTTCCACTCCATTTGAATGTGGCAAATAAAGCGGTACAATGTTACTTATGCCAACGGCTCTGTTGATTATCAACTGATTCAGAGATTTATCATCATACCTGCAATGTCAAAGGTAAACTATAAAAAGGTGTGGTGGAGGGAGTCTCAGACAGTTTGATCATCCAACAAGCACATCATTTGAAACATACAACATCTTAATGCATTTCTGCAAATCTACATAGAGTGTCAGCCTTATTCTTTCAACAGTTTGCTAATTTCAGAGTAATGATAATAAGATATCTAATCATCGGTCCTCTACCTTGTTCCTCTGCAGCCATCAAGGTCCATGTCCAGCTCAGGAGTGGACTCTATGATGGCCTGCACCTCAGACTTCTCCAGGTTGTCTGCTCCATCTAGTACAACCAGCAGAGAGTTTAGCAGAGAGAATGAGCAATCCAGTACACTCAAACTGCAGATACAACAGATGTTTTAACTGCAGTACTGACCATCATGTTTGAGGGGCGTCGAGGCAGAGCCCTGACCTTCATGTCCAAGCTGACCCTGCTGTCCTTCTTGCATCACTGTGATGTTCTTACTGCCCTCTGGTTTTCCACTGTTCCTGTCCAGGTTCTTGTTGAGCCCATCTGAAACTTCCTGTTCCGGCCGGGGCACAGACTCCATGGCAACATCGGAAGCAGCAGTAGACAGCGGTGTGGCAGAGGCAAACCCACCCCCAACACTGGACACAAGACTCGTTCCGGTGGACAATCCATCATGAGGAGATAGCGGTGTGGTGGACTGAGAGTTAACACTGTGTGTAGATGAGGGGGTGTTTAATTTCGAGGTACCACCCTGAGAGGACATGGGGGTGTTGGATTTGGATCCTCCACTTTGTGAAGACACAGGAGTTCCACCTTTGGAGACATTTTCGTGGCTGGTTGGAGTACTGGACTTGGAGCCTCTGTGATTCGCGTTGGCCAATTCATCCTTAAGGTGGAGGGAGAGGAGGAGGACGAAGATGAGGGGAGCAGGTTAACAAGAAAAACAAGGGATAAAACTAAGATCTTTATGAACATTATAAACCTCCTGCAATTGAAGCTGTAAATGCAGGTAATGTGCAGCACATTATTTTATATGCAAACCAAACCAAACACCACAATAAAACATAAGAGTGATCAAGCCAAAAATCTCAAAATACCAGAGTAAACTAAAAGATAAAGGAAAACACGAATGAAATGGGCTTCAAAGTTGACCTTGATTTTGTAAACTGTAGTTTGACAAAATAATCTTAACTCAAGGTCCACTTTCTGGCTTTTTCTGGAGCTGGACTGAAGTTCCATAGTTAGATTATAGGACGACGGAGCTAATTAAATTGTAAGCTCAGGAAATAGCTTGTAAGTGGACCTCGAGTTTAGATTCTTCAAACCTTGAAGTCTCTTTTAGAACTACTCGAGCACATAAATCTAGTATATTCCCTCTGTTTGTTTAAATAAAAATAAGCTAATATAACAGACGTCAACACCAACTGTGTTAAACAGTGATCACCTGGCCATGCGGCTAAAACCAACACAAACACTAACCAAACCACAACATGCAACCGGGACACTCCATCTTTCACAAATCACATCCATCCTGGCAATGTACACCCACACTCACAACTGTGTTTAAGTGTAAAGCAACCGTAAGATATGCATGTAAATCCTGACACTGATAAGAAGCTATGAGCACTGAACCTTTCTCGTAGCAGACCTTTTGACTTGTCACAAAAGGTGGAACAAAGTTTTGCTCAGTGGCATCAACTGTCCCAGTAAGCCTCTAGCTCACCTGAATGAAATGCAGTCTTTTAATGTTAACAATTACACGTGTGCTTTTCCTGCCATGACTAATCAAAATGTCTGCTCTGAAAAGGGTCTTCTGTAAAAACTGTTTGTTCTTCTGTTTTCAAAAAACATTTTGAGGCCAGCAGAAGAAATACAAAGGTCAGCATCATGCAGTTTCAATTAGATATGAGGTATTGCCAGTATGTTAGCATCATTGTATTTAATCACAGCAAAGTCTGCAACACAACTACTAAAATCAGTAAGTTTGGTAGACGCCGTGGTTAGTTTCTTCATGATAGACACGTCTACCTGGTCCTGATCAGCCTCCTGATGGGACAAATTCTCCTGTGAATTTTCACCTTCCACTCTGATTGGGGAGAATGGATCCTCAGACTGAGGGACATTAAAAACCTTGCTCATTAATATTTCAACATCCATTCCTTAAAAATAATGAAATATATATAAACAGCTATATAAGGATGTTGAAAGGAGACATAATTTCTGAATGTGTCCAAGAAAATAAAACAAAGCTGTGGGATACGAGCTGTGGGATACGCCTGAACTCCATGATTGAACCGTGTAGTGAGCAGTATTTATGGCTTCTTCTCGTACACAAGGTGACCTTGTTGGCAAAGGCTGTCTGTGTGAATGAGTGAAAATGAAGTGGATTTACAGTAACACTAAAACGCTAAGGTTTCATCAGGTCTTAGCAGCCCTTTGTGGCACGCAGAATTTCTAACTCTGTATTGTTTTGATCCGTTAATGCCAGCGGCTTCAGTCCTATAAATAGCTCTGTGCCAGATGGAAAAGTATCAATCAGGACAACAACAAAGCATCCATAAGGATCCCTCGGTCACCTTGAAAACAGATGAGGGGACACTTTAATATCACAGAGGAGACTTTAAAGCGTTCACAAACATTGAATGACAATAAACTTTCTCAATAACATTTTATTCTCTCATGTATTCCCTCCTCTGTGTCTGTCTCTGCACTGATGGGAGTATTTCCTTTCACATCTCTTGTCTGCATGCTGGCGTCACTCTATTGTTGCTATAGTAGCCCTGTGCAGCCAATAGGGGGAAAGCTTCCCTGCCCTGCTACTCTGCTGAAAATGGCTCTTCCCTAACCCTGCAAAAAACATTCACACACAGAAACACACACCTTTACACAGGAAGAGGGAAGGCATCATTAACTGTAAATCTTTGAAAAATGTCAAGTCAGAGGACAAAACACAAAGACACTGCTGTGTTTCTGCACTGGGGGTGACTGTTAAGACTGTGTGTGTGTGTGTGTGTGTGTGTGTGTGTGTGTGTGTGTGTGTGAGAAAGACATACTGCGACACCTATATTGTACTCTGGGACTCAGGGTGAGGAGCTCAAAAGCAGTTTAAGAATTATCATCTACCAGTTATGGAACAATCTTAACACAATTCCTGATAATGTGGGCCAAAATAAAGGTTACCAAAACTCAAACCACTTCACAAGTCTTACAATTGCCATCTAACCCCGTACTAGTGTAATAACGGCAAATGAATACTTATTAGGAGGTCATAAATATTCATGTTGGAGCCTTGCTTGCAGCATGGTTTCCAACAGCAACAATGTGAAGACACTCTGTCCTTTCCACCCTCCCTTGAGGTTGAAGGCATGCTCCCGAATGGCACCACTTCCTCTGCTTGCTGGGCTCCAAGCCACCCCGTTACACACACACACACACACACACACACACACACACACACACACACACACACACACACACACACACACACACACACACACACACATATAAACGCACAAGCTGCTAAAAATTCTGGACACACTGAACAATTCTTTCTCTCTGAATAGAAATGTACTCTCTTTGCGGCTTGCTGGCATCGAGTGGTTACATTTTGTTTCCACAACCTCTTTTAACTGAACCTGGGATGATGTCACCAGTCCGACCCGTGGGAAGCTCTACCAGCCAACTTCAGATAGTAACTTCACACTTTATAACTGGAGATATAAAGAAGTCTTTATTTTATATTCAGACTTGCGTGTTGTACCTTGAGGCTGGTGTTGGACTGCGGATGGCTAAGGTTGTTGAATCTCCACGGCTCAGAGGGCGTGTCCACAGGTTCCCTCTGGAGGTCAGGGGTCCCACCATCAGTCCCAGGAAGTTGGAATATGCCCATGGAGATGGGACGCTCCTTCCTGGACACAGAGACAAAGGGAAGGAAGGATGATTCAAAGGAGAAACTCTGAAAGAAAGTAGTAAAAACCGTCACTGAGATCAGCCTGTTGGTCAAGTCGCTCTTACGTAATTAGAATATAGAGAAAACGAGTCTACAGCCATTGTAGTTGCTCTGTGAGGCTGTACTCTGGCATAGCAGTGCATGGGGCTTAATACTAACGTATGCATGCCAAGATGGTGATGTTTAACAGGTATAATGTTTATAAGGTTTAATGTTCACATCTTAGTTTAGCACTAAATGCAAAGCACAGCATAAGCTGATGGCCCTGTCATTAACTTTCTAGCTATTTAGTCATAAACCAAAGTTTTGGACAAATTTTGACTGCAATGATAGCTCTAGAGGAAAAGTCAGAGGGTCACCAAAGTCAGAAGGATTCATGCCTGGGAACTATGAATGTCTGCCCAAAATTGTATGCCAATCCATCTAAGAGATGTTGAGATATGTGACTAGATAAGTGAAAAGTTTGACCTGCTGGTGGCATGAAAGGTCAAAAGAAAGTCTTCAGTGGATCTCCATCTGGGTAAAATGGATATTTGTACCAATCTGTGTAGAAATCTATCCAATAAGTGAGAGATATTTCCATCTAGACCAAAGTCCCCAGAGCCATGCTGCCAGCACGCCTGAAAACATAAAATAATTCCTTCAGTAGTAAAGGAGACCTTAAGCAAGGAAAGCAGTCCAGTGTGGACATGTGATTTACACAGGGCGATAAAAAGTGCACAGTATGGGATATATTTTACACTAGGTCGGACATGTTCTCATTAGTTTGAATGTTTTGACCCTCTCTTCATGTAGTGATGAGGTTCCTACAGAGACAGTGACACTTGGTAGAAGAGTTTATAGTGTGAAGTAATGAATAAAGTTTTGTGCAACAGCTACTGTACTTCATTCAACCTGAAGTCACTAACATGACAGATTATATATTTAATTTACTTTGCTAAATTAAATAGGCAGACTGTTAATTTTTTCCAGCTTGCATATTAATGTGTCCATTTTTTTCAATGAAGTGGAAGCAGATCAGCATAATGTAATCAGACAAATCAGAACAAAATTTTGACATTAGAGAGGTACTGCAGCAAACACCCTTGAGACAGTCTAGCAATGAAGTGGTGGGAAGAGAAATAAAGCTGATTGCCTCATTGACTCCATTACCTCCCACATCCTACGTCAGGCAATAACACAAATCCATTTGTATCTGGCTCTGTTATGGAGACGTATTGTGCCATGTGTGGTATTAGAAGGAGTTTAGTTAAGACACTAACCAGCTCCCTCGTGCATTAAGTGTATTATCAAACTTCCATTTCACAACTACTCCAACTAACCAATAATATTCAGTAACACATAGGGACACACTGAAATAAATACTCTGCACCAGACCAGCAACTACTTTCACTCCAGTGACTAGGAATCAAAAATATATTGCACAGTGAGAGCAGCACAATGGCTGCCACGGTGAAAAGAGCAGCCGACGGGCACGGATAAAAAGCTGTAGCCCGAAAAACAATGGACACACCACCATATTGAGAGGAAGAGGTCACATGCAGGCCACTGATAGTGACCAATGCTGCCTTTTGTTATCTGGACTGAGGGATGAGAAGAAAAAAAAACAAAAATCACATGCTCATCAGTCCTCCAGTACTGTTTCATCCTGGAAAAGATGTTGCCAAACTTTGAGAATAATCATAAACAGCTAAAAACTCTAGTGAAATGGAAATATCTAAGGTGGTGTAGTCTTCTAGCCATTTATCCCCATCTCTCTCTTGACCTACTTTTAGTGTGCAGTCTCATACTGTCTCACTATAACACACCCACATGGCAGCAGCACTGCGACTGCATGGCTACAAACTGGCAGTGACTCCAAAGACACAGACCACGACAGGGAAGATACAATCAGATTACACACATTAAGATAACATACACACATACACGTTATACCTGCTTGGTCTGGGTAAGGAGGGTAAGGAAGGAAGGGCAGGTAAGCCGCCAGTAGAGACAGAGTAGTGAACCAGCAGCAGCACTGACAGAGAGACCAGTACAGCGGAGTTGATGACGACCGCTCCCCCTACAAAGCCAAAAACAAACAGCAGCATACACCCGGGGCTCATGGCCCCCCCAGATCATGGCCCAGTGCCTCAACGGGGACCAGGAGGTTGGGGGGCACAGACGATGAAAGCAGATGAGGTGGGGTTCGACGAAGCGCTAAATTCCACCTCGACAGACCTCTGGTTGGACATCAACCGCTGTAAGTACATCTACAGCTGAGGTCAAAGAAGCGGTTTCCCTCTAACTGGGAATCAGCAGTAGAGCAGTGGACTCTGTGTACTGCAGCTTAACTGTGAGGCAGACAGAGAGTGGGAGCAGGTCACAGGCAGAGCAATCTGCCAGCAGCCGCCACAACAGCAGTAATCCTGATGGCTTCGGCAGCAGTGACTGATCAAAGCAGAGCAGCAGCACGCAGAAGAGAAGGGAGAGGCAGGTAGCGGCTGCAGCTCCTCTCCTCCAGTGTCTTCCTCTGGCAGGTGAATCTGTTTTCCTTCCTCCTTTGCTCTTCCTCTCCTCTGCCGAGATGCAACGCGGCTGCCGCTGTTCAGTCTAGAACACTCTGACGCTCTCCCTCTCTCCCTCTGATTGCCCCCACCACCCCTCCCTATCTGTCTCTCTCCATCCACCCCTCTCTTTTAGATGCTGAGGCAGCTCGTTCCATATGCCTCTTCTCAGGCTGCAGCCTATTGGCAGTAAAACGGGGAGACTGATCAAAAAGTTTGTGTGTGTGTGTGTGTGTGTGTGTGCATTAACTGAAGGGATACTGAAGGGCTAGGGAATACAGGGGGCTGCCTGAATGCACAGATACAGTCCATGGTACATTAAAATATTAAACACCATTCACACTTTCAACCTTTTCATGATTTATAGTTTTACAACATTAAATCACAGTGAATGTAATTAGTATGTACGGACTCATGTCAAAGTAAAAACAAGTTCATTCAAATTAAACTACAAGAAGTGTGAGAATGTATCATATCTTTAAGGACACACATATTTCTTCAAAAAAAATATGGTAAGGGATATTAAGTTCAATACACCTTCATCTATCTTTATAACTTTTTTTTACAGCCATCCTAACAGCTCTGTGAAGCTGTGCTTGAGCAAAATGTCAACATTAGCATGCCAATACGTTTACAAAGACAATACTTACATGCGGATGTTTAGCAGGTATAATGTTTACCCTGTTCACCAGATTTGTTTAGTATGCTAATATTTGCTGATTACTGCAGCACTAAACACAAAGCACAGCTGAGGCTAATGGGAAAATGTCATTAGTTTTGCAGCTATTTGGTCATAAACCAAAGTACTGGACACATTTAATTTTGACCTGATGATAACGCTAGAGTCAAACAATGACCATATTACAATTTAATCTGTAGGGACCATGAATATCAATATTATTTGCTGGCAACCTGTCCAATCGTCATCAAGACTTTTCACTCTGAACCAAAAATATCAGCCTCATGGTGGTGCTAGATGAAAACCACAGTCTTTAGAGTACATCCGCTGTGGACCATGGATGACTGCAAAAAATTGCATGGCAATCTATTCAAAAGTTGTCCAAATATTTCAGTCTGGACCAAAGTGGTTTACTGACCAAATGAGACCCTGTGAATACTACAACTGTTGCCCTGGGGTTTTACCTGGGTGGCAAAGAAAAAGATCACAGATCAAAAAACTTCTGGGCTAGTCTTTACAAAAAGTTTCAGACTAAATGGAAGACCAGGGAGCCTGTTGACTATTGTACTAAACACTTAATTAGTCATAAATCAAACACTGCAACTCAGCAGAAACACACCTTCTCCACTAGGAAGTGTGGTTACGGAAGCAGCCTGCTGCGGGGTGCTTCTCTGCAGCCTTGGAAGGCTTGTGAAGGTAGACCGTAAAATGAATTCATCAAATTATTGTAAAGTCACAAAAAAATCACTCACCATAAAAACAGTGTGAAAACTGATGCTTACCAACAGTATCGTTGCAACAACATATTAAACATAAAACAAATAATATTAACCTACTGAAAATTGAAATGTTCGTATTAACTGGAGGAGGGCGGCTGCTGACCTCCTGATTCCCTGCAGCGGGCATAATCTGCTCTGCAAGTGAGCAATAACCACAAAGCTCATCATCCCATTGAAGGAGATTATTCTGACAACTGCCAACCCACAGCCGTGATTTCCACAACATCCACAGCATCCTCTATCTGACAGAATTCATTGAATTCCAGTTTAGCTCCTTCTTGAATTTATAATGACTCTCTTCCACACTTCATCCTTACAATCTCATGTCTAAATCTTACAACAACAATCACTATTCTGCATTAAGAGTTGCATGTTTATTCTAATTAAATAACTATTTATCTGGCCTGTTGGAAATTGTGTCCACCCAGAGTGTTTCCTTGTGAAAGCAGTAACAGTGATTTAACTGCATCAGAATGGTTAAAGATATCCAAAGTAGTGCTGACCAACAAATCTTATTTTCATCATCATTGCAATATGAACATGTGCAATAAACACATCGCAAAAGCCTGAAACAACAAATTTTATTTATGATGGCCAATGGGCACCCAGGGCTAAAGACTGTAGTATTTATTATGAGGCTGCAGCTTCTGCATGCTCTCTGTGTTGGTTCACACACACACACACACACACACACACACGAGCAGAGACAGTGAAGTGAAGATAACTCCATTACTCGAGTTGATGACAACTTCACTCATTACTCTGACTACGTGCTATAAAACCCTCCCTGAGTAAAAATCCAATAGCTCACTTCATCAATACACCTGATCAACAAGGAAAAACATGTAGACAGCAGTATTTTTAATGGCTGCTGTGTTTTACACAAGCACAGCGAGTTAGTTCGGCTACAGCAAACTAAAACTAAAAAGCTAAAACGAAAGCTGTCTTTAGTCTAATTGTTTAGCTTAGTTTGCCACGTAGCTTGTAATTTGGCACATGGTTGTAAAATTTAGCTGCTGCTCCCTCTGCCAGCCGTCACGTTACCTGCAGGCAGTGAATAACAGCAGCAGAGAGAGGAGGAGGAGGACTGCTACAGACGGATGTCTGAGTTTTTCATTCTTTCTAAATGTCACTCAGTATTTTGATGTCAGTGACATTTTAGATTTGCTTCCATTGAGATATTATTGAATGTATATAGTGACTTTGCAGTTGTAAACATTAGTGTTACTGCTCTACAAACATTTAGTTGTATTTCAAATATTCAATTCTAATCCTGTTCTGAATTTAAAAACAATCACGCAGCTATCGCAGATTTTCTCATATATTGCAGCTAATTCAAAGACAATAAAGGTTTCAGGCCAGAGCTTCTGCTATGTGGGCGTCAATTTTCCATTGTAAGTCTAAGTGTTTGACAAATTTGGACTGACAGATGATGTAGGTGAATTTGGAATGAAAAAACACAGAAAAACCCTGGTGTGGTTGTGCTGTCTCACCGAGTTCTGGCTGATGAGCCTGCATCTGAGGGCTCTGCTGCTGTCACTGCATGCTGGTGGTGTTTAGTTCGCTCCAGGTGCTCCATGTAGCTGTGGATCATCTGGAAGGTACAAAACACACAGATTCGTAGAATTTGCAAAACTTCCATGTTACCATCTTTTACATGTTGAATTAAAATCTACTCTTGCATTTTACGTATTAGACTCTCCAAACAGCCTGCACTTATAAAGGGGGATTCAGAAAATGATGTGACGATGTTGCTACAAAACTACAGTAAATGTGATTGTAAATGGTCACGAGTCATTACTATGGTCACTCACATATGAAGTGTCCAGGCACAGCTGTGCCAGTCAGACAGTAAAGGATGTACATGGACCAACAGTGTGTTGGTGACAGCTTTTTAATCAGACTTTCATCTTCTCCATTCAACGTGATTCAGATCAGCAGCTGGCTGCTGAGGCTTGAGAGGTTTGTTTGGACACTGGGGCATCTGTTAGTGATGCATAATGAATAACAGACCAAAGGCGCAGCAGAAACATAATTCATGTTTGGATACTTCATGTTTTAATCCTCTTAAACTATCCCACTCGATTCTGTTTTGTAACTACCTTTGTTTTTCTATTACTTACAGGTCAGCTGTAAAATTATCTCCTCAACCTGTCACTCTGTTTTGTTCTCCCTTTCTATGATTCATTGCTCACCCCTTTTGTATTATTTTATAATTTAACTGCAAATAGTGTATGTTGAGTAGAGTACCAACAAATGACTCATTATAAATTCATTTATATATTTATTGTTTCCTCTTTATATGTTTTCTAAAAGCTAATTAGCATTATGTAGCCACACTCACAGTTAACAGGTGATAAACTTTGCTCCAATGTATCCAAGGCCGACGTCTGGACACTTAAAGGACTTACAGTGCAGATTTGTGAATGCTGCACTAACATCTCCCAATTTAGCCACAGAACTTGGTAGGTGAAGTAGGTCTACAGTATAACTGTATAAGCACATGCACAGATGAACAACACTGCGATGAACATAGCTCAGACCAGCATACCTCAGTGTGTCTCTGATGAAGTGCATTATACTCCTTCTTGAGCTCTGCTTCTCTTTCGTCCAATCTGCTAACTGGATGAAAAAGAGAAACAATTACTTAAAGTACACATAGTGAAACAAGCCATAGGATTGAAGCAAGATTTACTCATAACGACATGGAGCTTTGCCGTATAATGCAAAATATTCAATATGAATTAACTTCTTGCATTTCATGAAGTCTTTGACAAAACATGGACCAAACTGTTCCACTGACAAATGGTTCGGGGGTAGAGCAGTTGCTGCAATAACATCTCAGAGCCAGAAGAGGGCTGCCATGCATCAACAAAGCTCTCCTAAGCTTCACCAAGCAGAAAGCCTTTTTAGGAGCATTACACCTCTCTGAATCACAGACAGCGCTATGAAATCAAACTTTTTTCTTTAGGATTAATGTTGCAACCCAGTTTAAAATCAAACACTCATCTTCATCCACAGCTGATGTCATTTTGAACACAAGTAAACATGATGTAAACATCTAAATCTATGCTGAATGACATAGCAGCTCCTTGGGTCTCTGATTACTGTGATAAATGTTCAGAACATTGCTGCACTTTGTTTGTAATAATGAAAGTCTAATGAACCTAAAAGGTGAAGAATGGAAATGACAATATCTCCTTTATAACGAGGATCGTAGTGAAAAAATGACATACATATACTTTGATGTTCTGTTTATAATATATACATACATTCTAACCAAAAGGAAAACATCCACACACCTATCTATAGATCAACCATCAGCCTCAGTCAAATCCAGTCTGCAACAATGGTAATCCATTTTTTGTGGCTCTCAGGTGACTCAGTTTGCAGTCCTGTTGTTTGTGTTTTCAGACGCCAGCCAAGCAAAATGTCCTCTCACAAAAGGTGGACAGCGACACTATGTCCCTTGCAAATCCGTAAACGTGGCTATACACTGAGCAGCTGCTCATTCACAGGACCGTTCATCCTTCATGCTTGGCCGCACTAGTTTCAAGTCAGAAATAGCCTTTGTATCAGGTGCTCAAGTATAAAATACCTCTGTGATCAATGAAGAGCAACAGTTCAGGCAGCAACTGCATAGAAGGATGGAAACAGTGAATTAGTGTGGTTATGAGAGGGCTGATAGAGGAACTGATGGTTAAAGAGTGGAGCAGAAACACCCGAGGCCTGATACAGAGGTGTGTAGAGTAAAAGGAAGTGATCCTAAAGGAAAGCCCCACATGAAAAGTCTAAAAAAAACCTAAAACACTTACATTTAAGCAATAAGAAGTCCCAGGTAGGGCTGCAACTAATGGTTATTTCCATTACAGATTATAGCAGCAGTTGGGAATTTTAAAAAAATATAACTTTGTCATATTTGCTATAACTGTCACTATATCCTGTAGTGTACCAGCCTCTCATCCTGGTGTTAGAGGTTATCGCAGCTACCTCTGAAGCCTGGGATCCTCTGCCCTGGGACGCAACGGGTTCCTTCTGGTGCCATACGAACTTGTGGGTTTGGTGGCGTCTCCCTCTGACACGAGCAGCAGAGAGACACGAGGAAGGTTTTGCATTTTGTGTTCAGTTGTTGCAGACTGCAGCGTTAATTTGCCACTTATTATTTCAATTAATCAATTAATTATTTGGTCATGTAAAATGTCCCAGAGACATCTTCAAATGTCTTTTTTTTTGTCTGACCAAAAGTCCACCCAAAGATATTCAGATACATGACAAAGAGAAGCAGTAAATCCTCCCAGACCTGAGAAATAGTTTTCGCTACATAAATTACCAAAACTATCAATTGACTATCAAAGTATCTGCTGATGACCATTTAATCAACTAATCGTTTCAGCTCTAGTTGCAAGTTCAAGTCGCTTTCCACTGCCACCCATCCTCCTGAAGTGTAACATTCTATATTGTAAGCCATCCCAAACTAAATCACATCAAGATAACAACATCAGTAAACAGAAACTGAACTTGACAGTGTGTTTGTATACAACAAAGTGTCCTCGGGGTTTATATGGTTAAACTGTGTGTGTGTGTGTGTGTGTGTGTTTCACAGACATGGCCAAACACAGATCACACTGCTGGCAATTTGGTCCACAAACATAATTACAGATGACAAATGAAACTAAAAAAAAATAGAAAAGGAGAAGTGTCACATCACAAGAAATAAAAAGAGGTTTGCTGAGAGCTCTCAAATTTTCCCTAAGCATGTACGTAACTTACGGACCAGCGGCGGTACAAATAAGCAGTCACACACACTGTCAACAGTGCAGTCATGCACACATCATGATGGTTTCTTTTGATACCCTGCAAAGACTACCACACTCTGAGACTTAAGATTACACTGACGTTGGCATGTACAAGGTCTTTCCTACTTCAGACATCATGATCAGTTACTTTTACATCAATGCTTTAGGCATTTAGACATTCTTTTGATCTAGAAACACAGGTGAATGTTACTGAAAAAAATATTTGTTTTCTAGATTAAAACTACAAGCAGGTCAGGGCCTTAGCTCCCTACAATCCTCTTCCACTCCTCCTGATCCTTTTTGGTCTTGGAACACATTTGGTCTACTCTATTACAGCTCATTTAGCAATCTCGGCAGGCAAACACTCACAGTATGTTACTGACTGCCTTTATTCAGTAGGGACATGGGAGTCCATCTGTCCTCTGGCACATCAGGCTAACAAACAGTCACAAGACCTGCAAACTGTCGATGCTGCTCACAGAGTATCTGGTGTGTGTGTGTGTGTGTGTGTGTGTGTGTGTGTGTGTGTGTGTGTGCGCGTGTGTGACTTTCCGATAATAGAGCCAGTTCAGTAAGACCTGCGTCTGTGATAGAGCAGCAATGGACTTACTCTGATCTGCATAGTTTTTAGTTTTCAGCTCTAGGTGACGTGTGTGTGACTCCAATGCCACCAGTCGACACTGCAGATCCTTCTTCTCGCCATCCTGGGAGTCTTCAAAGACAATGTACCTCTGCAGAACAAGACAGGAAATGGAGGGAAAGAACAGAGAACAGAGCATTTATTATCAAAACCCTGAAATGAACATGGTTGAAACTCCCAGTGACGGAAGACATGTTGTGGATTAAACCCTGCATTTGTGTGTGTCAGAGATGACCATCTGCTCTAGCTAACGGTGTTGATACCAGCAGAAAACAGAGAATACAGTGTCTTCTGTCCATAGTGAAGGTCATCTAACCCCCTCTGCACAACAGGTGCACAGTGCCAGCGTCCTACAGCCTTTGTGTGCTCACACACATACACACAGTTTCCTGGGCAAGTTAGTAACAGTCAATATCAGTGTCAAAGTTGTGTTTTCAATCCTCACTCACCTCAGCCCTTTTTCTTAGGGGATGTTGGACTAAGAATGGTTTTCATATCAGGAGGAACTGGACTGACTATTATACAGGGAAGTGGGTGAACACTAAACACCGACAGGCACAATACATGATTATGATGATAAGCATAATATTAATAACCTGTTACGTTACTGATCCCGGGAAGGCACTGGATATCAGCGGTCACTGGTATCAAGAAAACACTTGGGGCTTCAACCCAGCTTCCCAAACTGTCTCTCGCCACTAACAGACCATTCTGCCCAAATCTATTCAATTTAATGCTGCGTCAGCCACTGGTCCATGATGGCAATTTACATTTTGCTTGCGTTTGGACTGGATGAAACTTCAATGAGTGGTGACAGGAATTGGGTCTCTGAAGGGACAAATATCAAGTTAAAGTGAAGAAAAACTAGAACAAAGAAAATGCGGATGTTAAAAATACATGAGTTGCATGACAGTCGCAGTAGTAGATACGGAGGCAAAAAAGAATGAAAATATGTTATGAAACCCTACTCAATGGGTATATTAAGTGTGCAGATATGCACAGCATGCCACATTCCCAAGATATGACTAAATCAACACATTTAATCAGCTGACTTTTAGAACAGTTTTGACTCACAAATGAGAACTAGGCTGCAACTAATTACTTTTTTCATTAGCGACGAACCTGCTAATCATTTTCTCCATTGTTTGAGTAATCATTTGGTCCATAAAATATCAGAAAGACATAAGAGTATACAGACAGGCTAGCATTTCTGCCAGCTCATGTGAGCATGCTAACAGGCTAACAATGCTAACCTGTTGATGTTTAGCCGACGATGGCACCAGCGATGACACTGACAAAATCACTGTAATGTGGGTCGGTCACATCATCATCACGCCATTTCTGCTTGGTAAAAAGGTCAATATCAGCACCAATACCGATCTGAACAACATTCTGATCTATAAAGCTTTGCTGCTAGTGGGGCTAAAATTTGCAAGATTTCACTAGTTCCTGCTTCTTAAATGTGAATTTTTTCTTTTGGTCCGTCGCTCGGACTAAACAAAACATTTGAAAATGTCCCCATGCGCTCAGGAAACAGAGCATTTTTCATTATTTTCTGATTATGAGCCTAGAAAATAATCAGTAGATTCAATGATGATGAAAACAACCTGTAGTTGTAAATTAACTCAAAATATACAGAATAAAATGGTGTGAATCTAAAGTTTACACATACTACGCACTTGCAGCAGAACTTAATAATAAAACTAATGGACAATCCAATAACTACAGGCCCAATGCAAAGTTAAAATTAAACATACAGGCCCATCTATCGGTACCTCAGCTGATCAGCTGAGTCAGGTGTCTGATAACCATGCAGTCTTGTGATGTGGCGCTCACTGGTGATGAGCCCTGGGCTGGGGCTGGATGTCATCTGCAGGGAGATGAGGATCACCTGAGCGCCCTGTAACAAGTAGCCCCTTCTTTGCACGCAGCTCACATTGAGACTGGAGGTGTCTATCAAAAGGTGTTTCTTCAAGATGCTTTTGTGAGCTCTCTTTTAAAAAAAAAAAACCTGAAGGACCTGCTTTTATACTTTTTAAAAACACAATTCATTCATTGATAGGATGAGATGTTTTTGTTGTTGATGTTTGCCTTCAGGCTCTCAAAACTATTTCAGTGTAGAGCACTTGATTTGCAATTAATCATCTTTGAATGTCCTCTTTATCAAGTGGCCTCTAACAAATACAAAGAAGTGAATAGATTTTGCCTTTTTGTGAAATTTGAGTTTGTATTAATGGCTGTGATGTGCATTTAATTTTCTTTCTCTCTCAATAACAAGGGGGTGGGGGGGTATTTGGAGGTTAAGGGTGAGAGACTTGTGGAGGGCCCAGCAGGGTCTGGAAAGCCCAGGGAGCATCTTAAGAACTAAGGTCTTGGTAGTAATGCAGCATTTACCATGTAAATCTACTAAGAGCATTAATATAGCACTGGGCTAGACTACAGAGGGGAGGGTTCATAGTGGGGGGTGCCCACTAATTTGCAATTGTACATAACTACAACACTAAGACAAGCTAAATTACTGGCCTTACTTCTGATCATTTTAAACTGCTGACAGGAAAACGATTTGAAGACATCGCAGCGCTCTCCTTAGATTTAAGCTAATTAACACTATTAAAGACTAGCAAATGTACGGATGACACATGCCGACACCCCCTCCTATATGATTAGAACTGCCGCCAACATCGTCCTCTCTCACTTTGCTGCTCATCATATGACCCAGGAAGGAAGCTTGTGCATATGACAACGCTCCAGAGAATGAGTGTTCCAGCGTTTTAACGTGCACTCTTCCCCCTACGCTACATTTATAATGCTCTCTTTGTCCTCGAGTGCCAACACACACTTACACACACGCAAACACATGTGGCTCCGGGCACAAGTGCATGCACACCCACGCAGACAGGGCTCCACTGTATTGGCACTCAATTGACAGAGAGTGAAATCAACTCCTTTTAGTGTTTTTGGCTGTGGGTTGCTACTGGCTCATTTGGGACAACTGGGGTGTGCAAGGCCTTGGTCATCAGATGCAATAAACTGACTACTACTGCAGTGAGCCTACTAGGATTCCTCCACTATAGTGATGATGGTTAATATTATGGATGGTAACTAGTCATTAGGATTCATCATCTGGGAGCCACACATTGTTTATACAAAGGTCCGTGCCAATTCATCCAGCAGATGTTGAGATATTTTACTGGTCTATGTCGGGTGTATACTAGGATTTTCAAATTCATCTTCAAATATGTCAATGCATCGATTAACTCATGGCTGAGAAGAGGGAATCAGCATGGTTTATACATTCTATATCAATACACAACACATTAGTGACGCTTCCCAGTCAGCTTACTCTCGTTGGATGCTGCGGGTTTCTAATTGGAGATGAGAGGCCATTTACGGTTAAAGCATTGAAATACAGGCAAACATGCCCCTAATACGGGCATACGTGCATTAACAAAGTGCACACTAGCATTGAAAACACTGAAATACAGGCATACACACAGTGAAAACACACACACATGTAAACAAGCACATAGAAAATGTGTACGCTTCATTTCTTTTTCTGCTTGTTTACGCGAAACCTACAATTCTGCGCTTTATAATCTACAACACGCAATGATTGACTTGCAAAATACGATACTCCTTTGTCTTCCTGTTACAATGAAACAACTTCATGGAGCACTGAAATTATTTTACACATACGCACACACACAAACACACAAGTAGCCTGTATCCCTCTGTGTGTGAAGGTGGTGGGTGTGAACATTTTCAATGTGTATGTGTCTGTTTTCAGAGCATGTGTGCCTTTGTATCAGTGTTTTCAGGGCATGCGTGCACATTGTCAATGCGTCTGTCCGTTTTCAGTGTTTTTCCCCTAAACGGCCTCTCATACTGCCCGATTTCCAGTCGGTGACCTTAAGATTATGTCTATAGACCCCTCACGCTACAGGATCATTTGGGATGATAATCTGTTCTGGCCCAGAAATCTGTGAAACTTCTGACCTGCTCTTGGCGCAAGACGGGATCACCAAAGTCATGAGGGTTCATCCTCTGAGCACCATGAAGATCTGTTCCAAATTTCATGGCACTCTACCACAAATGTCAACCTCATGGTGGTGCTAGAGTAAAAACCTAGGGATCACCCAAGTCTGGAGGATTCATCCACTGGAGAGCATGAATGTCTGTACAAAATATCATGACAGTTACTGACATATTTCATTCTGGACCAAAGTGGTGGACCAATCAACAAACGGCTTCATATCATTTGAGGCTTTGCTACAGTAAGTTACCCTATACCACCAATACCCCTGCTCTATCTCGTAATAGATTGCATGTTAATGATCCACGATGATTAATCGGCTGGCATTAAATGTGAATAGACTTTTGCAGGTCAGCAGACTACCCTGACTGGACAAATGAACTGAGGGAAGTGCTGTTTTTCCCCAAGAATTTCCTGCCTTGCCTTTTCCTCTCCTCAGCTGAGACCAACTACTAAGAGGACGTATTCCTCTGGGCTTGGGGCAGCGAAAGGCAGGACTTGGCTCATACAATGTGTTTGTTTGGTAAGATTAATCTGCTTCTTTGCTTCTAGAGTGACTTGTTGCCCAAATAAGAAGCTTAGTAACTGAGTCTGTGCCATGCTACTTTTTTGCCTCCATTGAATAGCCAGTTGCTTTGGTGGTGTGGAGCACATTGATGCTTTCGGTGAGGCAATGATCTCTCAGAGCTTCAGTGCCACACCACAGTAATGAGTGTTCAGCACTGTGGATCTCTCGCCGTTTATTGCTGAACACACCTATCCTCAATTTTCATTACTTAGGAAAGACTTATTGCGTGAATTCACTGATTCTTGGTCTCTCTTGGTCTATCTTGGTTTTACTTGAGCAATTCAGTTGTTATTTTTACCAACTTCAATCCATCCATCCATCGTCAACCGCTTATCCTGTGTACAGGGTCGCGGGGGGCTGGAGCCAATCCCAGCTGACATTGGGCCAAAGGCGGGGTACACCCTGGACAGGTCGCCAGTCCATCGCAGGGCCACACGTAGACAAACAACCACTCACACTCACATCCACACCTAAGGACCCAACTTCAATCACAAACCCAAATTTACAAACAAGAAGCCAGACTTTTCAGAGCTGATTTATGTAAAGCAGTGCATTTCTCTCTCTATAAATCACATATAACAATAATTGTCATTTAACTGACGCTTACTTATAGTGACTTACAATTGCTATTTATGTTAGAGTTCACAAGCCTCTGGAGCAACCAGAGGTTACGTGTCGTGCTCAGGGACACATTGGTAGTTGTTGCAGTGGAACCCTACAAAAACATACACAACTGTTGGTTACTTTTCTTTTTGCTTTTATTTCTTTTAATAAAGTTTGTTTGAAAAATTCGACTTTTGTAGATGACCTATTTAAACCATTATAAAAACAAAATGCAAATATTCCCCTAATCCTTTGCAACACACGCTTGGTCAGACCTAAATCAGTAAACTTGAGTATCAAAAAAGCATTGTTTGAATTGCAGTGTTTCGGTACTGATTTTTAAATAATATCCTTCCCTGTCCAAGTCTGAATACGACAGCTGGTATAGTGAACATCTCTGTTCAAAGACACACTCATGAACTCCCATGGCCATTGAATGCTACATCCTGAATTGTTATTGTTCAATCAAGTTCCAACACAGACACATACAGAAGCTGACTTCTCCTATAGGGAGGAGTCAAGGACGAGACCAATGACATCATCTCAGCATATGAATATTACTCATCACACCAACATGAAAGCTAACTTGTTGCCTCCCTGGCTGAGTAAAGCGCTAGTTATAGGGATGTGGTATTTTACATGCAGCAGCCTGAGGGAACAAGACAAATGTAAGCCCATAACACGGACAACCTTATGTGCACAGGTCTATCCGAAAGCGTTAGCAACATGTTACGACATGACATAAATTATTAACACGCTGCTTTGTGACCTGTTGTGCTTGTCATTCAAGCTTTCAAGTCGGAAAATACTGAGGAGTGGCAAGAACTGCACGTGTACACACATTGTACTGCGATTTCCAAGCAGCACTCACATAAATAAATTACTAAATCCATTATCTTTACCAGTTATGTTGCAGTAAGGCTTGGTCTTTAATATTTAAATCCCCTTTTCCAGTCTAAACCATATTGGCCACCACTAATTAAACTGGGATTAAATGCCTAGAGGCTGGAAAAATAATAAACCAGATTAAGTGCAAAACCACTGCAGTAGTTGAGGGTTGTTAAATATGCTTCATGCTTTTGTATATAATGCCCAAACATGAGGATCAGTGAGAATTAAGAGGAGGAATACTGTGGGTTTGAGCTTTATTGAAGTATAGTTAGTATAAGTACCAAAATACACCTGCAGGAAATTCATTGATTAATAGCTGTGCAGCAATATATCTACTGCAGCGTTTATATTGTGGCTGTTTCATCACAGGATTATTGTAACTACAGATTTGTATATATATTTATTTTGGAATCTTGGACCTCAACTTCTGTTTGGTTTTAGTTTGTTTTCAAGGTGCAGTTTAAGTTTTAGTTTTTATTTCCTGGAAATAACGTGTTTAGATTCTATGTTGTGTGTTTTCTTATAAAGAAGGTTATGTAGTTCTTGAACTTTAAGTCCTGCACACAGTACTGATCATAGGCTGGAAAGAACAAACCATGCATTCAAGTTCTTACTGCATGAGCATGACATAATACATAATTCATGTAATATTCGCACAGCAGTTTTCTTGGTGACTTGTTTCAGATTTTAACCTTGGCAACAGTAACCAAATGATTTCTTATATTCAACTGACTTCAGCGACAATCATTTGACAAAGTACTTTCAAAATGAAAGCATACAAATTTAGCTGCATGTTGCAGATACGTGCAGTCACGGCAAAGTACAGAAACTAGCCTACATGTCCATCACCACCTCGATGGCAAGGACTATGAATATGGGTCCTATTGCAAATGCTTTGTAAAAAAGAACATACCAATAATTGCCAGTATAGCGTTTTAAAGGATTCATTGACCAAATTATTCTTGTCACTGAACTTCTGTGTTCTTCCACAGCACCTTTGTGGATGTGAATGTGTTTAAAACACCATGGCCACTTCTAGTTTGGCATACCTGGTTAAAGCTAAAGCTATTTTCCCTTTAACTTCATTTTAATAGCATTGTAGTTCACACTCTGGTTTAGGTTTGCAATGTTTATGCCAGCTCTCATTTTTATTTACAGTTGTTGATTACTGTAACAGGAGCTACAGTGGATATAAAAAGTTATAACACCCTTATGAAAGGTGCAGGTTTTGAAATGTAAAGACAGAAGTAACAACAATGATGTAAATGTCAGGCTTGTTCCATCTTTAATGATATTCCAACAAACAGAAATCCAGAGAAGAAAAAAAAATGTTTAATACACCCTTATTGCGCATGTCTACACGCTGTCTAGCTGTGTTCAAAGTTAACCAATCAGATTCAAAGCCATGCCTGTATGTAAATAAAACACACACCTGCCACCAATGAAAGTGATTCTCATAAAAAGATCCGTCAGCTGCTGCAAAGAAACTAATTGTTGAAAAGTACCAATCAGGAGAGGGACTTAAAGAATGTCAAAGGCATTGGATGTAGCATCACACATCATCAGTAAATAGAGAAAACGTGGTACCACAGAGACGTGATGCGAGGACGAGGAGAAAAGTTCTCTAGGAGGCTATCAAGAGACCATCAGCAACACTGAAGGAACTGCAGGATTTCTGGCAGGTGCTGGTCTGTCCTCGTATGTGATCCCAATCTACTGTATTCTGCACATGTCTGAGCTATGGGGTGGGTGGCAAAACAGAAATTCTTTCTTACAAAAATGGAACAACCAAGTCAGTGTGAATGATGTCGATGAATACATTCAGTCACCCCCAACCATGTTGGAAAATTCTGAAAGATATGTTTAGCACAAAGCCGATCCAGGTCATCATCCAAGGAACACCATACCGACTGTGAAGTGTGGTGGTGGTGGAAGTGGTAGCATCATGCTATGGGGCTGCTTCTGCAAAGAAGACTGCAAATTCCAAAGTCTACATGTGCAAAGTTAACAAAGACTGGCTGCTGTAATAAATGCATAAAGTGCTTCCTCAAAGTTTTAGCTGGGTGGGGCAGATACATGCAATTTTTCTCTGGATTTTTGTTTGTTGGAAGATCACATTAAAGATGGAGTCTGACATTAAATTGTTGTTACTTCTGTCTTTACATTTCAAAAACCTGCAATTTCATAATGATTTTTTATATCCACTGTACCTTTGCTTGAAAGGGCAACTCGTTACATACCTAACAATAAGCAATGACAGTGGGAAAGCGCACACACCTGTGTAGAGGAGCAATGCTGCCAGTTATGAATTTATGCTATTATAGGCTCCTACAGCAAAACCCTTAGCACTGAGGATCCTACAGCTTTCGTTTCATCAGTGTGCCTGTTGCTACCATCGATTTAACACAGGGTCTGTCCAAACCCTGACTGCACTGTAGTGCTGTAATGTAATAAACAACATAGCAACAGGTGTGTCATTTGGCTTTAATCAAACAAGAGGGCGGTGATGACATGAATGTGAATATGAACACTGAGATTCAAATGATTAGTTGTTGGAGGCGGCAGAGGGCATCCACCTGACAAACAAATCACTGATAGGTTTGCATATCTGAGGCTTGTTGATGTATTATTACAAACAACAGTGGCGCGTTCATGCCGCATTAATTCCCCAAGAGTCGCTGGCATCCATGGTGACATAAACTTGCAGTCAGAGTACAGTGTGTGCTTCAGACATGATATTTTGCCCTGGTACCGAGCAGTCTGTTTTAGCGTTTTCCTTAAACTCAAAGAGGCTGGTCGTTAAGGAAACGCATCCAACCCATCAAGCTGTGATTCTTTTAACAAAATGTAAATTTACAATAGGTTTCTCCGGCAAAATAACCGATGGTGGGCCGTTGCTTCTTATTAACCACCAGTTTAGAAAGAGTACTTTGATTAAAATATGTGCTTTTATGCGAGTCTGTACGTATGCCGAATTAAATAATGGTGTGTGTATTTCATAAAAACTTATAATTCATGATTAATGAGCTATTATGTGTAGTTGATACGCCACGCAAAAGGGAATTGCCAGATTTTGGAATTGGGTTCGGCTTTTAATCTTTCTATACCAAAGCACATAACGTTAATACGAGCCTACAATCTTTAATCCGGGTCATAAATTAGTTTGGCAGTTATGTGGTGAAACCCACCTCTTCCGCGTGTTTTCTCAGTGCCTTCTCTCGTTCATACTGGGTAACGAGTTGCTCGTTGTCTTCCTTCAGCAGCTCCAGCTCCACTTCGTGCTCCTGGTTGACAGCGAACACCGAGTCCAAGTTCTCCAGTACGGCGACGACCAGTGGCATCAGTTCCTTCACCACGTCCTCGTCGTATTTCTCGATAAGCCGTTCAAACTCACGGTATATTGAACTAGCCAGACCCGAGACCCTCTCGGACATCATGGCAGAGTTGCCCGAGTCGTCCTGATACAGGACTACGTCGTCCAGCTCCATTTTCTTGCCTCCACTTGCACTTTATTTCCCAGCTAACGTTAACGTCAATGGGTTAGCCGCAAGCTTCAGCTGGCCAGAGGCTGTCCGCCTTGCTACTTTGAGCGCAACAAAACGGTGTCCCTAAAACATAGCTCGGATGTTGTGTATTGTACAGAAGAGACACTGTACTTTGTGAACAAAGTCTGTATTCCTAAGTCGTCTGGACGGCTGACTTTAAGAGCTTGCTAGCCTCGTAGCTAGCAGTGCTGAAAAGTCTTTACTTGGCTACTGATTAGTTTCCCCGTCCAACAGATGAGCTCCTGCTGCTGCGTTCACGCGCTATCGGTGATGATGAATGCAGTTCAGAGACAGCAAAGTAATAAACTACTGAAAGAATGTCAGATTGTATCTGAATAAAAACCTGAAATACAGAATATCAGATACGTAATTCTGCAAAAAAGTTAAAGGCAAACGTAGACATTAAAGTCGTTACAGTGTTGTAAAAACGGTGAAAGGCTACAGTACTGGAGCACTACCGCCTGGTTAGTTTGTTGTTATTGTTGAAGCTAAGACAATAATTCTGTCCTGTTGCTCATATAGTTGCTGTTATGTGACGTTTAAGGGGCGGGGAGATCAAACCGTATCAACTATATCTTCATTTACAGACTTAAGGGTAATGTGTGTTTATAATCATTTTATGTTCCAATTGTATTTGTCACCTTTAATTACCTCCAGTGACTGGTTTACTACACATTTCCTCCCTATCATTTTCATTCTACAGCTGCAGCACAAAGTAGTTACGAGGGTATGCCATTTGATTTCTTACATAACTTTACAGCCAACAGTACAAATAAGTAGAGCAAACGTTGATATCGTACAGGCTGGCTGTACTGGACACTACCATGCCAGAGTTTAGAAATAGGAGCTTACGAGGATCCCTTAAAGAGGTCATGTGTTGGTGACGGGACGTCGCGGGTACGTCACGTGCTAAACAGAGTTGATGAAGTATAGAGTTACATCTGCAACTAATCCATAGTGATCTATTGATTGGAAACATTTCATTATTATTTACACCCCTCTCACCATTGACAGATATGACTTTAGTTAAGGGATTAATACAAATTTTTAGCCTTATACCTTTTCACTTAAAATGTATTTCACGTGCATTCAGATCGCAGGTTGATGTTTCTGAGGTTAAGGACCACTTGTGTTTCTTCTATTTAAAAAAATAAAATAAACCAAAGGATGGGGGAGTGTACTTCACAAAAGCTTTTATTTGCATCAATGAGTCCAATGCATTCTGTTGATGATGTGAAATAGTTATTCAGGCATCAGTTGACTCAAACTTTAATATTATACATTACCTGAAAAAAACAAAAGAGACCTAATATCCATGGCAAGTAAACAGGTTCCCATAAAATGTGTTAAGTACAATCTTTCTACCCCTTATATCTATCTTTTTTTTTTTTTTGCCAAACACCATGCACTATTCAACCTGCATTGTAGAAAATGCAGGAAAAACAATAACTTACTGTAAACACCAAACACTGCACTCATCACTGTCTTTCACTGTAAAGCAATTCTGTTGACTCGTTTTTCCTGTAATGCATAGGCACTGTTCACCCTGATGTCTTAAGACATTAAAACACAAGACAGACTAACCACAGTCACTATACAATCAAGACAGAATGCTTCAGGCCCCTCTATCCTCACATCCTGGATCAGCCCTCCCCACACAGAAGGAAGACAACATCTGACCCTTTCAGTGACCAGGGGGCGGCCTCTACCAGCCACACAGCACTCACACAAACAAAAAATGTAGAACATCGACCTTACAGAAAAACTGCAGCGCTGTCAAATATTGTACACAATGCACATTCAAATATCATGGCATAAAGTTGCTCATGGAGTAACTCAGATTGAAATTAAACAAATCATTTGAATTAAATAATTAAAAGTGCAATTATAACAAAGTATGTGTGCTCCAACGGGTTAACGAATCCGGTTCATTCATGTAGATCACAACAGGGAAATCTCTACGGTTTCATGTCTTCCATTACAATCCACTGTGTCCAAATGTCTCCCGTTAGAAAAGGGGCTTTAGGATCAAGCCTTCAAACAAGATGTAAATGAAGGGCATGAAGTATTTGAAATATTCCAGGATCAGGCGTGGTAAAAATCAAATACATTACATACAAACAAAAGTGGGCTTAAAATACTGTAGAGTCTGGGAGCACAGACATCAGGAGTCCGTCTCTACGGTACTTTTCAGATATTATTTTGCTGGCTACTGTTCACAGACGACGGGCAGAGAGAGAAGGGCTTGTCACTGGTCAGACTGCAGAGTGCTCGGAGTACAACGTCGGGCATGTGATCTGCAAGCATCCTGGGACTGATCAAAACACTCCGGAACGCCATTTCATTGGACCAGTCTGCACGGTAGCGGACCTGGGAAAAACAGGATCTGAAAGAAAAGACAGTAGAAATTTGTTGGCAACTAACATTCATTTCTGCTCATTCAAGCCTGACAGCTCTTTCCACCTGGGACTGATTCACATCTGATAGTCAGGTTGAACAACACAATACATCCAGTTACCCGTCAGGTACACCTAGCTAAAACTAAAACAGTCTAATACAACAGTCCTGCAATAAATCATATCTTCATGGAGGTATTTATGTTCGTCTCTCAGAAACTCAAGACCAAACTGCCTTCTCCAACGAGCAGTCAGTCCAAAACGAGGTGAAAGCTATTCTCTCCCAAAAAGCAACTTAGTTGCAGTGTTTCAGAGAGCAAGACAGAGGTGAAATGATGTCAAGACGGCAAGCTGTTGGTATCAAGTAGGATGATATATTCGGAGGGCAATACTTGTCAGCTGGTGATTGAAAAGGTGGAGAAGAGCGATGGTGGAGAGTATTATTATTATTATTATCATAATAGTCAGTAATAAACTGTTTTAGAGAGGCGCTGATTCAACTTTATGGTAATTTTGGAGGCTGTAATTTGTGGTGCTGTTAAATTGTATTGCGTTTGCGACAGGTGTTTCTATTAAACCATATCCTCCAAAATGAATGATGAAAAAAATAAATCACACAGTTGAATCAAAACCTCTCTAAAACCTAGTGATGCACCGATCCGACACTAAAATTGCATATCGGCCCAATACTGACACTCAAATAGCTCGATTGTGTATCAGTGACAAGTGGGCCATCTATGGGACGCGAATCGAGGAGGATGGGTGGAGAGCTAACGTAGGAAGCAATGTTTAAGTCAAGACTGATGTTGCCTAACTCAGAAAAGAATGATTCCCAGTCTCTTCCTCACACGGAGGAATACAGCTTATACATTATACACTGCTATCGGATCAATACTCGGCTTGTTACCCAAAGCTGAGGTATTGGTGTCGGTATCAGGACTGAAAAAGTCAGAGTGGTGCATCCCTACTAAATCCTTCATTAAAAGATAGGAGTTAGTGCAGGACTGTTGTATTAGACTGCATTAGCTTTGTACCTAATAAACTGGCAACCGAGTGTAGGTGTTGTTCATGTGACTGCTCCAAAGTAGTAGCTGAAATACTGAAACTGAAAGGGTTTGAAGTGGCAGTCCAAGTGTAAGCACTGAAAGCAGATTCATGTGGAAATGAATATGGACAGTCGACAGACCTCCGTGACGGCCCATCTTCTGTGATATGCAGAACGCGTCCAGGCAGGAAGAGAGGTAAGTGTGCAGCTGTGTGGGCAGGCGAGTCATCTGACGCCAGGCTCTGATAGGATGATGAGTGGCGAATAATCAGTGACTCCTCCCCCAACAGTGGCTGGCTGAGCTCCTCCTCCCTCCTGTCGTCCATCTCAGTAGGGAAGTCATCTGGGTCTCCTCCGAAGAGCTCGTACCAACATCCTCGCAGCAGGATGCGGTACTGGAACACGCACAGAAAAATATTTGAAATGAATGATTGTGACTGAAGATATTAAGAGATGATATCAAGATGGAAAACTACGCCAATGTCAGTGCTGTGAATTGTCCTTACCTTAGGCTTATTGCAGTTGGAAACTATTTTAAGGATCCGTTTTTTCAGATCCACCATATTGGGAATGCTCAATCTGTACAAAAAGAATGATAGCACATTGATCAGGGCTGGGTATCCTTTAAAATTTTACAATACCAGTCCCCTTAAAGTGATACCAATACCAATTGAGTACTTCATTCAATACCTTTCATAAAATAACACCTGCTGACATGTCACCTAATTGGTAGCTTATTTTTATTCTTTTTATGGGTAAGCAAGGTTATCTATATTATTTTTTTCTTGTTTCAAATAACTGCTACATAAAAAGTACTGGGAAATTGTATCACATCGCTCCCCATCCTAATTAGGTCATCCTCACTAATAGTATTAGCCTATAAAGGGGAAAGGCTGCAGCTTGGGAGTTATTTTATATTTGAATGAGAGAAGAGTGAAATAGTTTAGTGACCAAATAAGTTGTGGGAAACAAATTTAAGGTATTTTTTTGATAATTGTGTTGAAAGTAAACAACGGAAGATTATTTTATTAACTTTCAAATCAATAAACTGAATTGAAAGATCTCCCTCCGCGAGTGCTTTTTAGTGGTGAGCCGCAAACCTCAGAAAACGCAACAGTCACAAGAATAAAACGAGAAAGCAGTCTGTTTAAACAAGTCACTGAACTACACCAAAGATACAAACCGAGGAATAGAGAGGGTGTACGTCTAGCCGATCAAACTAACTACACGTGAAGCAGCAAAACAACAGTTTTTATAGAGTTTATGGTGCAGGCATTTAGGGGAAAAAAAAGGTGTGTTCTTCTTATTCTTTCGGTGTGTTGCTTGCGTGTTTGTCTGCAAGAAAAACCATGCAAATAGTAATTTTTTGCCACGATCTGTTTACAAAAAGTAGGCCTAGGTATCGATTGAAGTACTGGTTTGACTGGAGACGTTTCGGTTCTACTCGATAGCGGGCTGTTTCAAAGTAGCATTGATTAAAAGAAAGAGGGAATACTGCAAAAAAAAAAAACACAACTTATAAAGAACAGAGGGGAAAGGAGCGTGAGTGTTGCACTTGTTTTCTCCTCCTCTGTGCCTGTAATAACAGGCCAGAGCCAATTATAGTCTCCATCACACAGAAGTCTATAATAGTCTGAGCAACACAACACATTTATACTGGCTTATTCTATCATGTAAAGGGCTCATTTCACAGAAAGAATGTGGTCTCAATCACAAATGTAAAATGCAAGTCTCTTTCAAAAACAATTCAAGGCACACTGTAGGGTTTGTGCAAAATGAAAATGCCTTTATTGTAAAAGCTAATACGAATTGAAAAACGCGTTGCGACAGACATGAGTCTTCATCAGAGTCACTGTCAACAGTTTCTTACACACCTATATTGTGTTAAACTACTGCATTAAGCGGGAGGAGGGTTCTCTATGGTGGAAGCCTACTGGTCAAAAACGAGCAAGTGATACAACATCAGTAGAAGGGAGAAGAAAGAAGAAGAGGGAAGAAAATTTATATTGGCCTTTTAA